GTCTTATTGCAGAGTAATAGAGCGAGTTTTAATAAATCATCAGCCAATATGTCTACATCGTCCTCGAACTATCAAGATGATAATTATATAATAACGTCAACACCACATATCATTGTGGAGGACCTGGTATGTATCTTGCTAGAATTAAGACGTCTCTTATATTAATTATGAGTGATTTATATACATTTAGTGCAATGAAACTAAAGATGTTGCCACTTATTCAAGTTTTCGTGTCAATGCTGTGTTGTGTCGTTTTTGTACTTGGAAGAATGAGGTTACCCTTTGCCACAACTACCTCTAGGTCACCCTTGGGCAAGGTGTAGTACCTGTCAGCCGTGGGTGCCAACTTCCCACATAATAAGTTTGGTTGACGTCAGTAAGGGCATACGGTCATAAAAGCCTTGCACCAACTCAGCCTCACGTGTGAAGTATTACCTATTAAAGGCAACATTTACGTTTATTTAAATATGTATATATGTGTCCTGGGCAAGATTTTAAACTACATCCGGTTGTGGAGTCTATGGACGTGGGAGAATGAGGTTACCCTTTGCCACAACTACCTCCAGGTCACCCTTGGGCAAGGTGTAGCACCTGTGAGCCTTGGGTGCCAACTTCCCTATTAACAAGTTTGGTTGACGTCAGTAAAGGCACACGGTCGTAAAACTCCTGCACAAACAGATCCGCATAGGTGGAACATTTTTCATGTAAATATGTATATATTAGTTTCAGTTGTTCTTAGCATTTGGCAGGGAGGATCGTAATCTCTTGTGGTGAGAACCAGTGTGTCTGGCCTGCCAACGGGGTGCTAAGGATTTCATTGGAAAAGTTATCAGTTACATACGTTAATGTAATTTCATTTTACATACCCGTAAATCAAAAATCACAATATCAATGCGGGGTGTTGTCGTAGTGTGTAGTTGTCCAGTCAGATGACTACAGTTCAACACAATATCAATGCTGTGTTGTGTCGTAGTGTGTAGTTGTCCAATCAGACGACTACAGTTCAACACAATATCAATGCTGTGTTATGTCGTAGTGTGTAGTTGTCCAGTCAGATGACTACAGTTCAACACAATATCAATGCTGTGTTGTGTCGTAGTGTGTAGTTGTCCAGTCAGATGACTACAGTTCAACACAATATCAATGCTGTGTTATGTCGTAGTGTGTAGTTGTCCAATCAGACGACTACAGTTCAACACAATATTAATGCGGGGTGTTGTCGTAGTGTGTAGTTGTCCAGTCAGACGGCTACAGTTCAACACAATATTAATGCTGTGTTGTGTCGTAGTGTGCAGTTGTCCAATCAGACGACTACAGTTCAACACAATATCAATGCTGTGTTATGTCGTAGTGTGTAGTTGTCCAGTCAGATGACTACAGTTCAACACAATATCAATGCTGTGTTGTGTCGTAGTGTGTAGTTGTCCAGTCAGATGACTACAGTTCAACACAATATCAATGCTGGTTATGTCGTAGTGTGTAGTTGTCCAATCAGACGACTACAGTTCAACACAATATCAATGCTGTGCTGTGTCGTAGTGTGTAGTTGTCCAGTCAGACGACTACAGTTCAACACAATATTAATGCGGGGTGTTGTCGTAGTGTGTAGTTGTCCAATCAGACGACTACAGTTCAACACAATATAAATGCTGTGTTGTGTCATAGTGTGTAGTTGTCCAGTCAGACGACTACAGTTCAACACAATATTAATGCGGGGCGTTGTCGTAGTGTGTAGTTGTCCAGTCAGACGACTACAGTTCAACACAATATTAATGCTGTGTTGTGTCGTAGTGTGTAGTTGTCCAGTCAGATGACTGCAGTTCAACACAATATCAATGCTGTGTTATGTCGTAGTGTGTAGTTGTCTAGTC